GAAAGAGATGGGGTGGGGCGTAAGAATACACTCCCCCTCCCCAGGGGAGGACAGAACAGGCACATCGCAATCCCCACCCTCCATTATCTCCTTGGAATTTGGACATGTGACACACGTGCCTGGCCTACTTCTCAAGTTGCCAGGTCCAGGATTTGAACTGCACCGTCAGCCATGTGGGATCCAGCTGCTTTAACCACCACAAGCTGGCCCCACAGACTTAATTTTAAGTAATCAATGCTTTAATCAAATGCAAACTGTACTACCACCACCACGAATGTGTCCCACTACAAGTTCACTCAGTCTATGGAGTCTCTGAATGTCCAGGCTGGAGTTTTCTCCATCAAATTGACAAAACACGGCCAATACCACTTCTAAAGAACAGAGTACCAGTGCCCTTTGTTTTTACATTTAACTTTTCTTCTTTTTCTTTTTTGAGACATTTTTGCTATAATGTGTGTGCACTTGCCAGAGAGACAGAAATTAAGAAATCACCCCTGGGAGAGATGACCATGCCGCAATCCCTTCTCCTCCATTCTTCTCTTGGGATTTTGGGCACACACACATGCACTCATGCCTGCTGTGAGACTCTCAAAATGCCAGGTCCAGGACTAGAACAGCAGACGACCACATGGAAGTACAACACCTTAGCCACTACACCACCTACTGGTCCCTCCTTTAAGTTTTACTTGTACATGGTTAAAAATCAAATTAAGGCTTATGACCAAAACAACTCCCTGGCCCATTCTTACCTAATCCACCAATCTAGAGGCAACTGCTGTTTCTTCTAACAATTAGTTCCCTATAATAAATTAGAATGCTATTTATAGGGGCCAGCAGGTGGCATGGTGATTAAGGCACTGGATTCCCAGATTGCTGACTATCGTTCAAGTCCTGGGTCTGGCAACTTGCTTTTTCACTTTCTCTGTCTCTCCCATGAGTGCACGTGTTCTTATAGAAAATTAAAATAATAATAATAAATTAATTATTCTTAAATAAACAATGCTTTTTAAAAAATGCAGTTTGTTGACTAACCTACCTTGGACACCAACTAATGTCCTTTTGGATGGATAAGGATTGAGCTTTCTTGTACCATTCCCAATGTCTGCCCTCTACCTGCTCAAAGTATGCAATGCTTAACATTTACACCCTTAATATGGGGTGTTATCAAGTCAAATTGCAATATCTCATTAGTCACCAAGTGAGAGAAAATAGCTAAGAATTGGTTATCGGAGATTGCCTTTATTACCAACAACACATTAACGTGATGTACGTACACAGCACAAAGGGGCCTCTTAATACTGCCCCCCAGAAACCAACTTACCTGCCTGGTCTCAGGCGGCTCTGGAAACCACAGCCTCCCCTGACAGAGACACAGCCTGCCCTGCTAAGTGTACTGCAGGTCAGCAGAGCAGACCGGAAAGGAGAGGCCAGAAGGGACTGAGCCCCAAAGCTGTGTCCTCTCCCAAAACCTGTCCCTGGACCAGTCACTTTTCCAGTTGACACTTTTGTGCTGTAGCTGACTGCAGGTGAGAGTGGACCACTGTACCCACACAAAAATATTCCACTGGATTATAGACATAAGTATTAAAATAAATAAATAAAACAAGAAACGAATGAAAAGCCTTCTAGAAAATACAAGAGAGTGATGCTCTGACACTATCCTGAGAACGTCTCTCGGAGTGAGGGGGCCTGTGGCAATGGAGCGCAGTGGAGCTGCAGGGTGCTGATGCCGACGGCAGGTCCCAGGAGTGCACCCTGTGTGTGTGCACAGGAGCACGTGCACAGGTGCCCATGACCCTGGCTAAGGCTGGGGGGACTGTCTGTCATGAAGACCCTGTTGGGTGTGCCTGTATTTCTCTCTCTCTGTCATGGGAGAAATAAATAAATGAACTTTTTAAAACACTAATGTTAAAAAAAAGCAGAAGCCATTAAGGAAAAGAATATAATGTTAAGTAAAAGCAGAAGCCATTAAGGAAAAGAATAACAGAGTTGAATGTGTAAAAATATAAACATAGTGGGACTGGCAGGTGGCAGGCTGGTTAAGGGTGCTGGACTCCCACATGGTCAAATCAGTTCAAGTCCTGGACCTGTAGCTTGCTTTCTCACTTTCTGTCTCTCTCTCACTTCGGTCAAATTAAAATAAATAAATAAATAAAGTTATGTAGAACAATTCTAAAAATAAAAATAGGTAAACATGGAGAAAAATACTAAAAAACAAAAAGAGGCAAGGACTAATCTGAGCAAAAGTTACATGTGTGTGTACACATATGTAAATATATAAAACAATAAATATATATAAATATATAAAACATTACATTATATATGGAATAAGTTAAAGTCCTTTAAACTTAGTAAGAAAAATAAGACAACTTTTAAAAATTTCCCAAAGGGCACATGTGCTGGTCAGAAAGAGATGGAGTGAGAGGGAAAGCGAGAAAACATCTCTGTGTGAGGACTGATCATGCCATAAGCCCTTACCCTCCATGTCACCCTCCTTCTGGGATTCCGGGCATGCACATATACGCACTGCCATGCTTTCTGAGCACGCACACATACGCACTGCCATGCTTTCTGAGCACGCACACATACGCACTGCCATGCTTTCTGAGCACGCACACATACGCACTGCCATGCTTTCTGAGCACGCACACATACGCACTGCCATGCTTTCTGAGCACGCACACATACGCACTGCCATGATTTCTGAGCACGCACAAAGACGCACTGCCATGCTTTCTGAGCACGCACACATACGCACTGCCATGCTTTCTGAGCACGCACACATACGCACTGCCATGCTTTCTGAGCATGCCATAAGCCCTTACCCTCCATGTCACCCTCCTTCTGGGATTCCGGGCACGCACATATACGCACTGCCATGCTTTCTGAGCACGCACACATACGCACTGCCATGCTTTCTGAGCACGCACACATACGCACTGCCATGCTTTCTGAGCACGCACACATACGCACTGCCATGTTTTCTGAGCACGCACACATACACACTGCCATGTTTTTCGGGCACACACACATACGCACTACCACGTTTTTCAAGCCTCCGAGTCTAGGATTTGAACAGCACAGTCAGCCACGTGGAATCCAGTTCACATAATCTCTAGGTCACCGGCTGGCCTGACATGTCAGTTTTTAAATGGACAAAGACTATCAGTAGGAAAACTCACAGAAGAGATGAATATATATAATCAAAAAAGTTCATGTCATTAATAAGAGCAGAATAAAAATGAAATTACCCTTAAAGTTTTAAAATAATACCTACAAATCTTGACTATGATCTGGAGAATTTAAAACACTTACAAACGAGGACCACCAGGTGGCATGGTGATTAAGACTCTGGATCCCACATGGCTGACTGTATGGTTCAAGTCCCAGACCTGGAGACCTGAAAAACACACTAGGCACATGTACGAGCCCAAATCCTAAGAGGAGAAAATGGAGAAGGGATTACAGCATGGCCATCCCCACAAGGGTGACTTCTCACCCTCCCTCTCCTTGTCTCTCAGTCTCTCTCCAGCTAATGCATAGGCCCTATGGCGAAATAAACAAACAAAAACACAAACCACTAGTTGGATGATAAACTTTTTTTTTTTTGAAGAGGTGTTTACTATAGGGAGCGTGTGCTCGCCAGAAAGACAGAGAGAGACAAAGAGACAGAAGGCAAGAAATCATCCCCCAGGAGGAATGGCCACGCTGCAATCCCTTCTCCTCCATTCTCCTCTCAGGATCTTGGGCACGTATGCACATGCGTCCGGCGTGAGTTTAAGCCACCGGGTCTGGGACTCAAACCGCGGTCGACTATGTGGGAGTCCAGCGACATAGCCATTACACACACTAACTGCCGGTCCCGATGATAAACTAATTTAAAACTGTTCCCAAGAGAAATTTGGCAAAACTATACCTAAAACCATAAAAGTATACATAACATTGTAGAATTAATAGTTTAGCCTCAGAAAATGATCGGGGATATTCTTTTTTTTTTTTTTTTTTTGATTTATAAAGTGCCATTAGTCTCAGCATTATTTATAAATAGCTGCAACAGGCAAGTTTATTTAGTTGCAAGGACAGGCACAAAAATATATGGGTCTTTCTGTAAGTGGAAGTGAGGAATAGAACTGGGACGTCCTGAAGAATCTTGTACTTTCTTCTCTTGCTCCTAATTACCTAATTATGTATTCCAAGAAAGGGATGTGGCCCGGGTCACCTCCTCATATGGCTCATCTGGGTTCGTATCTGATCCAGCTGTGGTCTGGATAGAGGGGGCCTGGGCTGGACAAGCACTGCGACTCTCTGGTACAGAGGCACCCACAGACGTGCGACCTCCAAATCTGGAAAGTGTCCCAGTTATCACAAACTGGCTAATAAACCAGACAGCACATTTGTGGGGAGGGAAAGAATGGCATACCGCAAAGTGGAAAATATCAGTTACGGGACCCTAGAGAAGAAACCTGGATGGCAGACTAACAGGTGTTCTTAACTGTCCTCTTGGTGATCGTAGATTCTAAACTTCCTCCAATGAATGTCCGTTTCTTTTACAATTATCAGGGGAGAGCAGCTGACTGTGTCACAACCGGGGGATATTCACACGTAGCTTGTACATGGAAGATGCTCCGATTACCTTGCCCGCATCACATTTCGTGCCTTCGTTCACCATCCCAGGGTCTGGGACATCGGATCCTAGCTGGAAATCCACACCCCAGCACTTGGTGCCGCGACTGGGCGTCTGAATAATCGCAGGCACAATCCCGAACACCGGCATCTCCTGCACATTCTCACACTGAAGCTTCCCACACAGGGCGTTCCTATAGAGACAGAGAAAGGACACGGCTGGAAAGTGCACCCAGGACAGACACGAAAGAAAAATGAAAAGTTTGCATGTGGACGTTAGCTGGACAGAAGCAGCAGGGAAAGGTTGGGGCTGAGGCCAAGAAAAAGAAAAGGGAGGAGAGACAGCGGGTGTCAGGGTACAAATCACAGGAGCCAGCTCATGCTCCTGCACCTAGCCCTGCTTCACTTCACTGTCTCGGGCTCAGAGGAGTCTAATAATGCTGTTGATAAATGTGACAGAACTTCACAGATGCTGTACACAGGAAGTCATACAGCAATACCACACTTCAGTCATGTCTTCTTACAGTTACGGGAAGGAGGAAATTAAAGCCTGTAATGCAAAATAGGAAAAGACATCTCTTTGACTAATTCTTTTTTTAATATAATTATTTATTTTATTTTATTTATTCATTCATTTATTTTAATTTAACTAAAGAGAGAGAGAGAGTGAGAAAGCAAGCTGTCAGGTCTGGGACTGGAAACGTGGTGAGCCATGTGGGAGTGTCCTGCATCTTAACCACCATGCCACCTGCTGGTCCTAATTCTTGGTTACCTATTTAAACACACAAGTCATGAACTCATTAACTCACTAATTTGACACGCAGGCGCTGTGAAGGCTCCCCTGACGACACCCCCTAGCTGAGTTAAACGGCCCACCTGTGGTACACCCCTGCGTACCTCTCACATCAGCTCTTACAGCGCTGCACAGAAATATTTTACCAAACAAAAAAAACCATCCATCAAGCACCCACCCTGCACATGAATTTCTTCCATGACAACACTGCCAAGTCTTCACGGGGTGCTTTTTCCCAATACCCCTAATTTGCCGCCTCCTGAAACATGCCATTCAAGCTATCATTACATTCTTTACTGAGTTGAAATCTGTCTCCCAGGACTTCCTCATTGACCCCACAGACACTGCCTTTCCTTCTTTCAGATGGCAGCTATTTTAGGACAGCTTTAATGCAGCTCTGAAAGACTCTTCACCAGGACGGCATCTTACAATCATTCTGCTTGCGACAGGGAGGCCCCTGCTAAATATGCACCTGCTGCCTCTAGACACGCAATGCTCATGGGGGAGCAGGACACCGCAGTAACAGCCTGACGGCAGAGAGGAGGACGCTGTCTGGATTCCAGGTGCCTGGCCATCTCGGCGAAGCCCGGGGTTACATAGCTTGGATGACAACACATTGCATTACCGATGCCCCAGAGTGTGCTGATAAAATCCCTCTTCGATTTTCACATATGCTACTACTAAGTCTTCATCTTGTCTCCATGCTACATTTAAGAGTTATTAATTTTGTTCCAACTTTATATTTATTCTTATGTCACCCTTTACTTCCTAAGTGACATAAGTAAAGTGACTGAACTTTCAGAACTCCTATTTCGTCATGTAAAAAGAGACATAACTAATAGTGCACAAGTTAAGCAATGATGGAACTAAGAAATACAGCGAGGACATGGGCCCACTGGCCCAGCCACTTCCACGGGTCACTGTCACTGGGCGGAAAGTGAAGACAGATTAAAAGTGACTTAATTAGTCCATAGCTCCTGAGATCTAGCCATTTGGGCAGAAAGGAAGATGTCCCACTGATAACTGGGCCTCCAGCATCCAAAACTCGCGTGAACAGCCCTTCTTCAAGAGACAGCCAGCTCCATGGCTCCTGAGATCTAGCCATTTGGGCAGAAAGGAAGATGTCCCACTGATAACTGGGCCTCCAGCATCCAAAACTCGCGTGTTTGGGAAGAAACCGACCATCCACCAGATGACTAGAAATCGCTGCAGGACCACAAGAAATATGGGGAAGCAGGAAAATACCTCTCCCACAAGGGAAAAGGATAGCTCCTCTTTATCCACACACAGTTCAATGGAAATCATGGAAATGTCTGATAAAGAATTCAGAACATTCATAATGGCAAAGCTAACAGAGATGGAAGAGAAGAGAGACAAGGAACTGCTGAAGAGGAAGGAGAAAGGAGTTGAAGAGTTCCAGGAGGTGAGGAAATTCATGCTAGATCTAAAAGAGGAATTTCACACTTTACAAAAGAATCAGATGGAACTGTTAGAGATGAAGGCTATAATACAAGAAGTCAAAATCTCCCTTGAAAGTATTAAAAGCAGACTAGATCATACAGAAAATAGAATCTCTAATGTAGAAGAGAAAATGGTTGGCCTAGAAAAATCCACCGCGAAGACTGAGAAAATGGCCCAAAAATTTGAGAATAATATGCGAGAAGTACTAGATACCATCAAACGTCCAAACATCCGGATAATAGGCATCCCAGAAGGTGAAGAGACTCATAAGGGCATTGATAATCTATTCCATGAAATCTTACAAGAAAATTTTCCAAACCTGGAGAGGCACTCAAAGATTCAGACCCAAGAAATACAGAGGACCCCAAATAGAATCAACCCAAGAAGATCTTCTCCAAGACACGTTATAGCCAGATTGACCAAAACCACAGACAAAGACAAGATACTAAGACTGGCAAGAGAAAAAAGGCAAGTTACCTACAAAGGGTATCCCATCAGACTAACGGCAGACCTCTCATCGGAAACAATGAGAGCGAGGAGAGAATGGGAAAATGTATTCAAAGTATTAAGGGAAAAGCAATTTCAACCGAGAATTCTGTACCCAGCAAGGTTATCGTTCATTTGGGAAGAAAAGACACGAACTTTCCCAGATAAACAAAACCTGAAAGAATTTACCAGCACCAGACCGGATCTCCAAGAAGTTCTTAAGGGAGTGCTATGTCAGTAAAATTAAATGCAGACACACAGAAATAAGAGTTCAGAAACTAAGAAAATGGGCAACTTAATTGTAGGGCCAAAAGCTGGAGTTGAGTATTACATCCCAGATTTCAATCTGGAACATCGAACCTCAACAGATACAGAAGAAATATTAAGTACATGAGACTGAACTGATGAAACAGTATTCTACGACTTGACTAAAATATTGCTGCTTTTCTTCTAAGCTTTGTTGTCCGGTTTTAAGGATTTTTGTCCTGTCTTCAGCTATCAATAGATTCATGTTCCGACTATTTGAACAGAATACTAACCTGTTTCTAGGCTTTAAGTTTCAAAGAAATATCCTTACCAGTTCAAAACTGCTTTTCTTGAAACCATCGGCTGATCTTGCTATTGAAAGTAGTTAGATTACTTATGATATTGTGTGATCAACGAAATGTTGGGGGAAAAGGAATTGAAGACAACTGTAGACAGCAGAGATAGTGTAATAAGAGAGTGGAATAGGGCAGAGGGCTAGACATGGGGTAAAAAACATATATATGAAAGTAGAAATGGAATATTATGGATGATAACATGCATTATTAAGCCACTATACAGTATATTCTAGATGGGAAACCACATTTAGAATGTTGTGATGATGCTCAGGGAATGAATGTAAATTAAGAAAAAAAATTTTCAGAAGAAAAAAAAAAGGCATTAGAAATACCTATTTGATGACTGCAGTTAAGCTATATAGCCCTAGTTAGGTGCTACTTTATAGTATGTTCATTCTATTCACTGAGGTTTATGCCTAAAGTCAGACTTGTGTTCATGGATATGTACATATCAGCTGTGCTTGCTGTTGAAAATATTTAGATTTATTAAGATATTTAGTGAAACAATAAAATGGGGGAGGCATAGAAAGCACCAATAGATACCAGACACAGTGTGGGAGGAGGGTGGGAGATGGCAGAGGGTGAGATAGGGAATCAAGAATGGGGAAAAAGGCAAAATATACAGAAAACAAGAAATGGAAAATGATTTGTTGACAATAACACATATGTTGATGTGCTTGATTGAGCCAATATACAGTGTATTCTCAATGGAAAAATCTCATTTTGTATGCTATAATGATGTACAGTGAATGAATGTAAATAAAGAAAAAAATGTATAAAAAAATAATAATAATTTTTGGGACCAGAAGTTAAAAAAAAAAAAAAAGTGACTTAATTAAGGATCAAGCCCACAGCCCAGATTAAGGGAGCTGGATCCCACAGGACTACGCGTAGTTCAAATCCCAACTGAGCAGCTTGAAAACATACCAGACACACGTGAGTGCATGTCCAAAATCCCAACCAGATGATGAAATGGGTGAGAAAGGGCCACAGCATGGCCACCCACCACTGGGGCGGCACCTTCTCTCTCTCTCGCTTTCTCTTGGGCAAGCATACCTCACACACACACACACACACACACGCATACACACAAGCACGCATGCACCCCCCCCCCGAGCAATTAAAGAGTTTTCACATAGAAATTAAAGTGGTTTAAGTGACATGACAACTAGATGAAACGTGTAATCCTTGGTCAAGTGCTGGGAGATGCCGGCTATGAAAAAGAGGCAGGTTAGGGACATATTAATACTGACCAGGTATTAGGTGACACTTAGCAACTGTTCATTTGGCTAGGAGAGAGAGGGGACTGTGAATGGTCTTGTGTGCTGGAGAAGAACATGAAAACTGTAAAAGTATCATAATGCCTATGAATCTTAAAAACGGTCCAGCAGTCCAGACAAAGCAAATATGACAATGCTTTACCCTAGGATAACAGAGTTTTGTTCACATATTCCTCTGTCTCATTTACATGTTCAAAAAGATGACACTACATGCTGAAAAGACAGTCCTTCCACGGGGACTGTGTGTCTTATGCTTCTGAAAGGAAATGCACACAGAAGGAAATGCAACAGACGTGTAAGGGAGTGTCGCTGGAAGGTAGGACCACCATGTAATTACACTTTTTTTTTTTTTTGAGAGGTTTTAGCTATAGGGCACGTGCGCTCGCCAGACAGACAGAGAGTGATATAGAGACAGAAAGCGAGAAATCACCCCCCAGGGGGTATGGTCACGCCGCAATCCCTTCTCCTCCATTCTCCTCTCGGGATCTTGGGCATGCACGCACACGCGCTCAGAGTGAGTTTTAAGCCACCGGCTCCGGGACGCGAATCGCGGTTGACTACATGGGAGTCCAGCGACATAGCCATTATGCTAACTGCTGGTTCCCACGTAAATACACTCTTTAGACTTTTCTAGATTTTATACATTTTCTATGATGAGGACAATGATGATGACAAGGGCTACAGAAGACCCAAAGAAGGCACTGCTCTTTGCACTGACATCCTTCAGCTCACCTGCCAAACAGCACTTGGAAATAGAAACCCCCCAACTGTCCCATTTTACAGAAGAGAAAAGTGAGGTATGGAAATGAAATAACTCATCCCAATTCTCAGAGATGCCAAGTGATTGAACCAGGTTTCAAATCCAAGGAGGCTAACTTCCAGTGTGTATTCTTACTGACTGTAGTATCCTGATACACAGTTACCAGATGTTTTCTAACGAGCTGCTCAGTAATTCTTACGTTTGTTAAGTATAGTTTTGATGTCTTAAGGGGGGATTCATGAACACGTGAACCAGACAAGGCCACAGACCAGCACCCAGTTTGTCCAGCAGGCTCCTTCCGAGTCGGCCTTAATGCACTTACCCAGCTCCTTCGCTGATCCGTTACTAATTCTCCACCCATTCACTCTCCACCATGTCATCTACACCTCTATGTACTCACTCACAGCCCTACGCTCCTCTCAGGCATTATGCTAACTGCTAAAGATAAAATGTGTCACTGGGCCTGATGGTTTAGTGAGGAAGGGGGAGAACCAGACAGCCACAGAAACAAAAGAAACCGTGAGAAATACTACATATTCCAGAGGCAAAGGAAAAAACGTGGTCTATATAATAAAAGGGTCCACTCATGAGAAAGAAGTAACAGTCCTAAATGTGTATGCACCTAATAACGAGCTTGAGATACACACAGCAAAGATGTAGAGTAAATAAGTGAAGAAATTCACAATCAAAACTGTAGAATTCAATGCACCAACCTCGGAAATGGAAGGAACAGATAAAACACACGAACACACACCAGGATAGGTAAGACTTGAATATTCTATTAACCTGTCGTTCACAGACTACACATCCAACTGAAGAATGCATTTCCTTTTCCAATGGCATATGGAGCATTCACTGTGAAGCAGACCATCTGCCGGACAAGAGTTCATGCCTCGATAAATCCCAAAGAGCCAGTCATAGAGTATGTTCTCAATGGAATTAAACTAGAAATCAAAACCAGAAAAATAACCAGAATATCCCTATTTGGAAATTAGGCGATGTATTTTCAATAGGCCAGGGGACAAGGGGAAACACAAGGTCACCTAGAGGATCCTCTGAACCGCAGGGACGAAAGCACCACACCTCACTTCTAGGGCAAAGCCGCACGTAGCAGCACAAGCTCCTGGCAGATCTGACTGTCTTAGGGGAGAGAAGAAGGTTTCCTGAAAGAAATCACAGAGACCCGGAGAACAGGCAGAACTAACTGGGCTCAGAGGGGAGATGAGGGCACGCTAAGCAGATGGGACGGCTAAGACCCTGTGGCAGAGAGTCACATTGGGCTAGCATGGCCAAAGCAGCTCACAGAAGTTCGTGAATCACACGTGGGGAGGAGAAGGAGGAGAACACTATGCAAAAGCCAGGGAAAGAGGGTTCTACAAGGAGAAAATCGTTAACAGAGCTGAATGCAACCCGAGACATGACCAATGTGACTGGTTTGGCGACGTGGAAGTCCTGTTGCTAGTCCTTCTTGGCACGCGTCATGTCACTGCAGTGGCAGTAGCAGGTGGGGTGAGCCGGCGGCACACGCAGTATTACAGAATATCCCGCTGTATGAAATGTTACTGTAAGTGCACGTGGTGCATAGGTACAGAATGGGTGGAAAGACACCGAAATTGGTGAACACACATGGGTTGAGATTATAGATGACCTTTCATTGTTTATCATTTAATTTTTTTTTGTAATACACAAATGTTATTGGGCCATTGGAAAAGTCATGACATATTTTTCTATGCTTTTCTATGCAAAATACATCATGACTTTTCTGATGACCCAATAATTACAGAAATAAAGAAAGTTTTAATTGATCATTTAAAAATTAGCATGGGGACCAGCAGATGGTGTAATGGTTATGTCACTGGACTCCCACGTAGTCAACTGCAGTTCGAGTCCTAGATCCTGTGGCTTAAAACTCACACCAGGCACTTGTGTGTGCATGTCCAAAATTCTGAGAGGAGTGTGAAGGAGAAGGGATTGCGGCATGGCCATGCCCCCCCGCCCCAGGGGATGATTTCTTCTTTTTGACCTCTCTGTTTCTCTGTGTCTCTGGTGAGCACACACGCCCTATAGCAAAAATCTCTAAAAAAAAGAAAAGAAGAAAAAGAAAAGAAAAAAATTAGTATAGAGGTTAAGGTGGCTGAATCCTACATGGCCACCTGCATGGTTCAAGTCCCGGACACAGCAGCTTGGAAACAGCCTGGGCACGTGTACGTGCATGACCGAAATCCCAAGATGATAGTGAAGCCAAAAAGGACTGAGGTGTAGCCATTTCCACTGGAGTGGTTTCTCACTTTCTCTCTCTCTCTCTCCCCCTATTTTTCCAGTGAGCAGTCACACACTAACCGAAAAAAAAAATTAATTTAAAATATGTAAAAATTATACAAAACTAAAAGAAAATAATAAAGTCCAGAATTAATTCTGCAGGTACGTTCGAAAGGACATAATAACACAATCTCTCATAGAAAGCGAGTTAAGAGGGTGTTGGGTTTGGGTTCTGGTTGTAGATTAGGAATAAACATTAGATCTCAGCATCTCACCAGTCCAATTCCTAACGCCAGTCTCGGAAGCTCGTGTTATAAAATGCGGTGGAAACTTAAGCATGTGCAGGGTGGGAAGTGAGCAGTCGTGGGATCTGCCACAGCAGACACTGGCCACGGTGGACCTCGCCTCCACTTACCCCGTGGCGCACTTCTTGTACTCGTTGCCGGAGAAGCCGCAGTTGCCGAACCTGTCCCCTTTAGAGTTCACTTCAATGAAACAATCTTTGGGGGCAGCCTTGGCTTCTGTGGAGCAAACATTTAAAAAGAGAAAACAAGTCATGGCGACAGAACTTCAGAAATTAAAGTACTCCCCCTGATCGTCCACACCCCGAAGAGCTGCCTGCACACCTGGGAAACAGCCTCAGGCCTTATGCGTGAGATATTTCTGTTCTGTTACTCATAACAAGATATAAAAATACTCTGTAGTAAAAATCTCTCTAAAAAAAAAGATACACACACACACACACACACACACACACACATAGCTTAAGTTGTACTTAACAGCCTTGGAGGGCCAGCATGGTGGTTAAGGTGCTGGACTCCCACATGGCCAACTGTGGTTCAAACCCAGTGGCTTAAAAATCATGCCAGGCATATGTGTGTGTCACGCACACACACACTTAAAATTCTTAGAGATGAATAAAGAAGGGATTGTGACATTGCCATATCCCTTGAGGGTAATTTCTCACTTTCTCTCTCTCTCTGTCTCTCTCTCTCTCGCTTGCTTGCTTACTTGCTCGCTCGCTCTCTCTCGCTCTCTCTCTCTCCCTCCCTCCCTCCCTCCCTCCCTCTCCCTCTATCTCTCTGGCAAGCACATGTGCTCTATGATAAAAACCTAAAAGAAATATCATTAAACAAGAAAATATAAATAAATTTGAAACTACGCAGTGTGGCACCATTTTCAGCATATTTGTTTTCGTTGCCCTCACATATTTATTTCTACGCACCCCAAATAATATGCAAATAAATACAGTATGCAAAGAACAAAATAAGTGGTCAGATCAGGCTGGGAGGAGTGGGGAAACACTGCCAGCTACTACTTTTGCTTTTCACTTACCATACATGGTTTAGGTATTCCTCCCAACTAGGTGTATTGACAAATACCCAAGGCAGGTGACAAAGAATGAATCCATGCTTGCTTTCTTATATATACATACACGTATGTGTATACATGTACACACACATGCGGTTTGGTTTTAAAGAAAATGGATGAGGAGTCAAAGGAGTTACGTGAAAAGAAGAAGAAAAAAAGAGGCAGAGGATCAGGTAATACAAGAAATGATCACGCCTGGGCGAGGTAGGTGGAGTGGTGATTAAGGCACTGGACGCCCACGTGGCCGGCTATGGTGAGTCCTGGACCTGGCTTTCTCACTTTCCCTCTCTCTGGTCAAATTAAAAATAATAATAATAGTAAATTAAATCAAATTGTTTTAAAAATGACTATAGAAAACTTGCACAAGATCAGGCCAGCCCTGTGGCCCAGTGGTTAAGGCAGCCAGATTCCACATAACCAGTCATCGCTGAATTTCAGCCCAGGTAGCTTGAAAAATATACCATGTGCATGTGCAGATGGGCCCCAAATTCCAACAGAATGGAGAACTAAAGGGGAAGGGATCGTGGCACAACGACGCCCACTGGGGGGTACTTTCTCCCTCTCCCTTCCTCTCTGTCTCTCTGGGAACTGACAGTGGTGAAATGTGACACTCTGCAAAACTGACCCACACGAGAAGGTTCCAGGTGCCTGTCCTGACCCCTGAATCCTCCGGGTATGCGTGCCCATGACCAAGGCTGGCTGAGGCTGGCTCATGGAGTAGACGCTACCAGGGGTGCTGTCTCTTTGTCTCTGTCTCTTTCTATCTCTGTCACTCATGGAAAATATAAATAAATAAATAAAACCTTTAAGTTTATAAACCAACTAAGAGCAGAATTGAGAAATGAGATAACACAAAATTTTGGATGCTGAAAAGCAGCCAGCTAAGAGCTAAGGGGCAAATGACTTCAAGTAGCTGAGAAAACGAAATCTAAGCTGGCAGTGGCGAAAGCTGAGCTCAGCTACTTTTCCATCACAGATTTCCGCCAAGAGATGGCCCCGGTTGTGCCCAATCGCTCTAGAGAGTGGGGTAAGGAGCGGCAGGTGGCTAAGAGAACACGGGTTAAAGGCTGCTGGGGAAGCAGTTCGAGCCACAGATCACATCCCCTCCCCGCACGGCTGACAGTCCCTTTCTATCCTGTTTCTGGAGAGAAGACACAGGGTGTCCCTACTCCCAGACATGATGCTCAGTTACTAATGGTGCAGAAACTATTCCAAAAACAAGGCAATGAACTGAGGATCTGCCAGCCCTTACTGAGCCCCACCCTATCCTCCTGGGTCCCAAATCCCCGCCCACCAAACCCGGCTTCTCCTGGGTGAGGCAGCCAGGCCTTGCCCAGTGAGCTGGGGACAGAGAGGGTCCCCACGGGGCAAAAAGGGAAGCTGTGGGTTTGGACACTGCCCCAGCTGAAGAGTGCAGCCCGTTCCCCAGAGGAGGCTTTCGGCCAACAAGCCTCAGTCCCGGTCTAGTTACTTACTCCCTCTGCTTTCATCCCCGGGAACCAGGGCCCAACAGACATCTTAGGAACTCAGCCCATGGGAGAGTGAGAAGCCCGCGGAGGAAGGGCAGCTGAAACAGTGCAGGTAAAAGGGGAACTTAAACACTCATTCAGACGCTGAGAGCTAAGAGAGTTTGAACAAATGGGAAAAATTCAGAGTTCCTGTGAGCTAAAACTACAACGCCTGAAATGAAATGCTCACGAAAGAACTAGAAGATAGAGCTGGAGGAACCGCACAGAAAGCGTGATTAAAAACAAGAGACGAAAAGGGAGAGGTCAGAAAATCCAGGAAATTCAATATGTGGTTCAAGAAAAGAATCCCCAAACACAGACTCTTACACATGAAGAGAAAACTATTTCTCAAACTAAAAAATCTTTTCAATCTATGACTGATTGGCTATGAGGCTTGAGACCTAGTTTTATGAAGGGCTGAGTAGACACAGCCAATGAATAAAAACAGACTGGCATCGGGCATGTCGTCTTGAAGCAATGATCCTGCGAGCCTTTCCAGAAGAAAATAAAAAGGCCACAGATGAGAATCAGAACGATTCAGACTTCTCAACAACAACCCAGTAAACTAGGCAACAAGGCAGCAATGGCTTCAAAATGGTGAAGAGTTCATTTCTAACCCCACCAAGTACTTAAAGAGGCGTTTCCCCTTCACGAGATCTAAGAAATGTTACCACCAATCCACACTGCTAAAATAAGGCCTTTGTGAGGGAGGAGCCAACTGAGAAAGGGCAACATAGGAAACAGCAGGCAGGATGTTATTTATTTTAAATCATTTTTTTATTGAACTTTATTTAGTTAATTTATTTATGTGTTTTAATTTGACCAGAGAGGGACAGAGTGAGAAAGAGAGAGAAAGTGAGAAGCAAGCCACCAGGTCCAGGACTCAAACCACAGTCAGCATGTGGGAGTCCAGTGCCCTTAACCAACCACCATACCACCTGCTGGCCCCTAGACAGGATTTTAAAAAGTAGAGAGAGAGAGTCAGCTCCATGGCCTAGTGGCTGAGGCAGCCGGATCCCACATGGCTGACCTTGCAGTCTGAGTCCCTGACCTAGCGCCAGGCAATGTGCGTGCATGCCCAAAATCCGTAAAAGAGGGAGAGACAGAAGAAGAGCAACTGCACTATGACCATTCCCCATGGGGAGGGGGACCTCTCTCTCTCTCTCTCTGTCTGTCTGTCTGTCTGTCTCTCTGGTAGCATATATAACCTTCGGTAACATTTTAAAAACAAAGAACAACAACATCTTACTTGAGCCAAAGATGACTTGACACTGAGCGTCGTAATACTGGCACATGCCATTGTAGCAGTAGGCTTTGCTATTCTGGCAAGGATATCCATTCTGAATGAAAACATCTGGCTGACAGAACTGAGAAGAGCCGTTGCAGTACTCCGGAAGATCACATTCATTGGTTTTTCCTCGGCAGACAGTACCTCCCGGAAGGAACTAGGGGGACAGATTCAAATTAAACAAGAGAATCAGTACAGGTCCACAGTGAATCAAACTTGAAGCCACACTATTTACATCTATAAAGATTTTGTGCCCTGGATCTCACATGGCCAACTGTGTGGGAGCTTGAAAAACATGCCAGGCACATGTGTGTGCCCAAAACCTGAGCGGAGACTGGAGAAGGTGCATGGCCAGCTTCTCGGAGGAATGCTTTCTCATTTTTCTCTCTCTGTGTCTGTCTCTTCCCAGCAAGAACATGTGCCCTATGGCAAAATAATTAAAAAGATAAAGAAAGTAAAATTTAAAAGTCTACCAGTAACGAAAGGTTAAAAAAAAAAAAATAGAAAGGCGAACAAAGGTCAACACCAGGCAATTCATCACCATCATAAATACAGAAATGAAAAACCTCACCTCACTGGTAACAAAAAAATGCAAATACAAATAAATATAAGAATGCTTCCCATCTATTGCACTAAGGATTACAGTGCTTGCTAGTAACCAATGTTGGCATAAGGAAACAAGGATTTAACAGCACAGGAGGCAGAGTGTGTAAACTGGCACGTTTGTGAAGACACATAAAATGTGGATCAAAAAGTTTAACATGCAGGGACCAGCAGTTGGCGTAATGGCTATGTCGCTGGACTCCCACGTAGTCGACCCCAGTTTGCATCCCGGACCCAGTGGCTTAAAACTCACGCCGGGTGCAATGTGCATGTGCCCAAGATCTTGAGAGGAGAATGGAGAAGAAGGGACTGCGGCGTGACCATCCCCCCTGGGGGGTGATTTCTCACTTTCTGTCCCTCTGTTTCTCTCTGTCTGTCTGGCTAACGCACGCACCTTATAGCAAAAACCTCTCCAAAAAATAAAAAAATTTTAACATGCAGGGAACCAGCAGTTAGCATAAGCCATGTCGCTGGACTACCATGTAGCCGACCGTGGTTCGAGTCCCGGACCCGGTGGCTTAAACTCACACCAGGCGCATGTGCGTGCATGCCCAAGATTCTGAGAGGAGAAAGGAGGAGAAGGGATTGCAGCGGGGCCATCCCCCAGGTGAGGGGGAGATTTCCTGCTTTTTGTCTCTCTGTCTCTGTCTTTCTGATGAGCATACACGCCCTGTAGCAAAAACCTCTCAAAAAAAAAAAAAATTTAACATGCAAATATGGCTCCAGCGATTTCTCTTATAAGCAGTCATTGGAACAACCTAAATAGCCACTAGTTGACTAGATCAACTATGGGAAAGCTGTAGACAGGAAAAGTGACTAACTACGTACAACCGCGTGAATGGGGAAAGTCCATGGGGTTTCTTTGCAAAAGAAGCCAGCTAGTGAAAATATGTGTCTCTGTATTTCCCCACTTACACACACACACACACCCCTTCACGTCTGTGTTTCTAAACAGTGACTAAGTTAACAACAAATCAACAATGGCCACCCAAGGAGCGTGACCACAGCAGGTCTTCTGTTTTCCGCCTTCTGTACTTCGTATGTTGAAGTATTTTTAGCAAGCACATGTTACTCTGAAAGTCATTTTAAAAACGGTTTTCCCTAAGAAGAAAATCGCAACAGACCATTTGTCATGAAAAGAATGCTTCAAACTACAGAAAATGGCATAAAATTTTTCCCACCACCATGGAATAAAGCTAGGGCTCTCTCAGCAAACTCAGAAAATCCACTGTGGTATGCACACGCCTTTCCTTCTCGGTTTTTACTGTCGCTCCTGGTAGGAAGGGGCTCCTTACCCAGCAGTCCTTACAGCAGTCCCCGTAGGCACATTCGGCCGATGCCTTAAGCTTACAGGTGCTCCCTTCACAGCAAGGGTCTGATTCGCATTCCTGTGAACACAAAACGACCGACAATAACGAAAGGAGTTAAAGATATTAATATTCAAGCATAAAATCCTTCTCTCAGACCTGAACTCTACTACACCCTACTCCGGCAAGTGTGGTCACTTCCTGAAACCAAGCCACTTAGCGTCCTTCTGGGTCTGCCGGCGTCTCCTCAGCTCTGAGGTTTAGGCCTCACCGCAGTTAAAGAGACGAAACCGGAGAGCGTGCCTTGCTTAGTCTGCGCACACCGTTAACAGAACGCCATTGACTGGCGGCTTACACAGTAAAAACGTATTTTCTGACAGTTCTAATGGCAGGGCAGCTAAGACCAAGTTCCTGCAGTCCAGCTTCTGGTCAGGGCTCTGTCCCTGGCATGCAGACAGCTGTGTGGTCACACATGTGCACAGAGAGGAGGTGAGCAAGCTGTCTGGTATCCCTTCTGTGAGGAGACTAATCCTACTGGATCAGGGCCCCACCCATGTGACCTTGTTTCACCTTAATTATTTCCTTGGAGCCCTGTCACCAAATAACTGCCACCCTGGTAGTTAGGCCATCCACAGCACATGAAGGGGGGTGGGGGCACACGAATAGTCAGTCCATAGCAAAGTCTGATATCATGGGGAGTAAGTGTTCATGAACATGGTCCTCTTCGTGCTTGGGGTCTGACTTCTCTGTTGGATGCTCTTCCCCTTTGGGAAAGACACTGTTCTCACCTTGCTTGGCTTCTCTCATCACACTCTGTGCCTCGACGGCTCCCCTAACCCGCAGCCTCCCACCCACGGGCACCCTTCTCTCCTGTTCATCAGCAATGTCTGCGTCTGGCTTTTCAAGCTGTGCTCAGCACCACCTCAGTGGGGGGGGACAACTGGGTGAGGGACAACTGGGTGAGGGACAACTGGGTACACTTTATACTGCTTGCAACTCCCCCTAGCTTACAATAATTTCATAATACAAATTTTAAAATATCATCTATACCGTGTAACATACCCAGAAAGATAATAATTAAAATGGATCATGGTTCTAAATATAAAATCTATAATTTCCAGGAGAAAAGCTTAGCAACCATGGAGTAGGCAAAGGATTCTTTGATGCAACACCAACAGCACAGCCCGGGCCTGTGGTGGCGCAGGCGGGATGGCCACTGCCGGGTGATGCTGGAGCCATCTGGAAAGGCTCCGGATTTAAATTCCAGGTCTGCCTCCAAACACCAAGCACACCTATGATCCTGGCTGGCTGCACAGAGTGGGGCAGAACAGTGCCAAGAAGACCCTGTCAAGAATGCCCCCCAACTCAAGAAATGAACAAACATACTTTTTTTAGAAAAAAAAGCACAACCCATAAAAACACAAGTGATAAAATGGATTTCATCAAATTGTGAAAGTTCTGCACCTCAAGAGATAGTGTGTATTTAATTACAATAATTACACCATAACTTGGAGAAAATATTAATGAATCATATACTATGATTAAGGACTTGCATTCTGTGTATAAAAAGTACGTTCAAAACTTAACAAAACAAATAACCTGGTTTTTTAAATGTGAGAAAGAGCTGAGCAGACACATCACCACAGAGAGACAGGGCTTCAGAAAGTACGTGGGGAAATGGAATTTAAGTCTTATACAAGTTTACATTGGTGTAAAAATATCTGAAGTCTACACAGTTCTTCCACAATACACATTTCCCACGAACTTTCTGAAGACCCCCTCCTCTATACAGATGCCGAATAAGCACACAAAAACATGCCCGATGCCTCTACTAAAACCTTAGTGAGGCTTCACGTCACACCTAACAGAATGACTAGACTCTGAGACTGGCCATATGAAGTTTGGGTTAGGGTCTGAAGGAACTGAAACTCATCACAAATGCTGGGAACACGAAATGGAAGAACTTCCCTGGGAAAAAAGTTGGAAAGGCCCCTGAAAAGTCAAACATACAGCTACCATGTGACCGAGTGATCACTCCTAGGGAGCTATCCAAGAGACATAAAAATGTAAGTCCACAGAAAGACTTTGATGTGAATGTACACAGAGCTTTATCTGTAATGGTCAAAGACTGAACAGCCCCAGAGTCTATGAGCAGATGAAGACAACAACACTGCAAACACTCTCAGCAATAAACTTAAACACAGGAGGTGGACTCCCGCCCAGCTGCAACAGGATGAATCTCAAAAAAATACACTGAGTAAAGAAGCCTATTAATAGACCAAAAAAAAAAAAAAGGGCAAGGGGAATTTTAATTCCTAAAATTGTAGGAAATAAATACTATGTACAGGGGAAGAAAGATCAGTGATTTCCAGAGAAAAAGAGGGGCAGGCGGAGAGGCGGAGAAGTGAGCACCAGAGGGCACGAAGCCCCTGAGGAACGATGACATGCTTATTACCTTGATTGTGGTGATGCCTCACGGACGTACACGTGCCAGAACTCACCGACTTGTACACAATAGAAGGTGGATTGGGGCAAATTCGTGGCATGGTGGTTAAGGCTCTGGACTCCCAACTGGCCAAGCGTGGTTTGAGTCTCGGACCCAGCGGCTTAAAAATAATACTGGGTGCGTGTATGCACACGCCTAAAATCCTGCAAGAATAGAGGAGGAGGGATTGTGGCACAGCCATCCCCATTGGGAGGTGACTTCTCACTTTCCCTCTGCCTCACTCTGGCGAGCTCATGTGCCCTATGTCAAAACCCTTAAAAAAAAAAAAAAAAAAAAAAAAAAAAAAAAAAAAAAAAAAAAAAAAGATTGCTGTTGACTAAGTGTACACAACCGCCTACTTCTTACCCTCCACTTTGTCTTCATCAAACGTGAGTCAGACTTCTCTGTTTCCTCCAGGGAGGTGAACGTGACCCTTGTCACCCTCTGGAAACGGGTGACCAAGGCATGCGCTCGCCTATCGGAGCCTCCTGGGCACTTCCCACATTTCTGCAGCTTCCTCTTTACCCTGGATCTTGATTGGCCCACAGATTTCTAAGACCAGACTAATCTCTCTCTGGCAACGGGCTTTTCTCTGAATAAAGCCTTCCACTGTGAACTTTAATTTTTTTATTTGATATGGTATACAATTATACTTTTTAAAAAAGTTAGTAAACATTTTTCCAAAAGCATTACGCAGGACAGACAACTTCATGAAAAAACAGAGAATTAAGAAACAGACAATGTGTCTAAGAACTTAGTTTACAGTGGAAGTACTGTAAGTTAATCTCCTGACTCACGCCACATGCCCCTCAATTAAAAAGCTAACACAGAAAAACTTAAATTAAAAAACAAAAAGTACAACAATTTTAACAGGAGCTATTACGATGATCTAGAAACAGGAGAACTAAATGCCTGATCCAGGGGCCAGCAAGTGGCGTGGTGGTTAAGGTGATGACCTCCCAGAGGACTGACCACAGTTCAAGTCCTGGACCTGGTGCTGGCTTTCTCGCTTTCCTTCTCTATCTGGAGAGTGCACATGCCCTATAGCAAATTAAAAAATAACAATAGTGATAAATAAACATTAAATAAATAATTCTTTTAAAAAATAGAATAGAAGCCTGATCCAGGCTCCATGACATTCTTTTTCTCCCTCTTTCTCTCTGGCAATAAGACAGTTATTTTGAATGATACACACACATGCACAAAAACAACAGAATACTATTCAACCTTAAGAAGAAAGAAAGAAAAAGAAAGAAAGAAAGAAAGAAAGAAAGAAAGAAAGAAAGAAAGAAAGAGAAAAAGAAAAAGAAAAAGAGAGAGAGAGAAAGAGAGAGAGAACGAGAGAGAGACTGCAGGACAGTCAGCAGCAAGATAGCGAAGGAGCTGGATTCCACATGGCCAACTGCGTGGTTTGTATTCCAGACACAACTTGAGAAACACATCAGGGGTGTGTGTGTGTGTGTGTGTGTGTGCCTGAAACCCCTCAAAAAGAGAGAAAGGAGAAGGGATTGCAGTATGGCCATCCCCATGGGGTGCTTCTTCATGTTCTCTCCCACTTTCTCTCTCTCTCTCTCTCTGGGTCTCTTTCCAGTGAGTGCAAGTGCTGTCTGGCAAAATTCTTTTAAAAAGGAAAGAAAACAGCAAGTCCTGCCACTTGTGATGATGTGAATGAACTTCCCGGACACTGTGCCAAGTGAAATGAGCCAGTGGGGAAGGACATGCACCACCTGACCCCACGTACCTTTGGGTCTAAAATAGTTGGACTCATAAAAGCAGTAAACAGAATGGAGGCTGCCAGGGACTCAGGAGGGTGAATAGAAAGTTGCTGATCAACAGGTATGAGGTTTCGATTTCACAAGATGATCAAATTCTAGAGCGTGCAGTACCACAGAGCACAGGGACCAGAGCCAGCAACCCTGTGTCATCACTTACAAATCTCCTAAAAGAGCCCATCTCGGCTCTGTGCGCTCCCCACGCAGAAGGAAAAGTACGTCCTAAAACAAACCCGGTATTTATAAGTGTGCGTACTATACCGTAAGTAAATGCGCAGAATAAAGTCTAAAGAGAAATAAACCAAATCTGTATGAGGAACAACCTCTATGAAATGAACCATGAGACTGACGGGGCAAATCATTGATGGCTTTTACTTACTATTTGAAACTTTTACACCCAGAAAAATAACTGTGGTATTTGAGAGTATATTTTAAAGAGAAATTTTCTAGTTAGAAAGCTTAAGAAGCAAATTCTAGGTTAGCACTGAGGTGGGTTTGGCAGTGGAGAAAGTGAGACTAATAAAATATTTAATGAGGGATCAGCGGGTGGCATGGTGGTTAAGGAACTGGACTCTCACATGGCCAACCACATTTCAAGTCCCAAACCCAGTGCTTTAAAAATCAGACCAGGTGTGTGCACGTTCACATTTCCAAAATCCCAAGAGGAAAATAGAGGAAAAGAGACTGTGGGTGACCATGCCCCTGGGAAGTGATTTCTCAGTTTTCCTCTCTCTGCCTTTCTCAAGCGAGCACATGCACGCTATGGCAAAACCCTAAGAAAGAAAGAAAGAAGAAGAAAGATGTAAGAAGGCTTGGAAAGAGGGAGGTCTTGGTCACCCCAACGGCATCTTAATTTAGAAATTAAACATAATTCTTAGGCCTAATTTTCCTCATATGAAAATAAGAATATTAAAGATACCAATCTCTCAGGGTTGTGGTGAGGACTGAACTATGGCAACTATTTAGCAGAAGTCGCAGACACAATTGGCAACGGAAGAAAGGCCCACGACGTCGCTGTCTGGAAAGCAGAGGCATGTCATAACTATGTCAGACGTGGGCGCATACGGAAGGAGAAAGTTCACCTGTGGAAAGGACGAGACTACGATAGACTCCTGCATAACCGAGTAAGTTTTTGTTTTTGTTTTAAGCTTAATGCGAGGCCTAGGAGGGAACGGCTTCCAAGGGCTATTCTGAGGACTTCGGCTAAGTACGGTGGGGAACATGGTCACAGAACAGCAATACTGCAGATGGACGCAGGCTCGTGGCAATAAGCCTAAGTGAGTGGTCTGACAGCCACAGACAGCCGGCAAACTGAAGTTCACAAAGGGAGAAGTTACTTTAAGTAGCAAGAATTTTGACACTGAAGGATTCCAGAGGACAGGCTGGCTTCCACCTGTGGTATGAGTCCAGCTGAACAAATATGGATACAGTGGCAGTCCCAGACAGTGAAAGCTTATGAGTACAAACCCAATTGAAAAACTGGTAAATTCCGAAAAGAGTAAATAAGCCAGTAACCATAACAGAAATGGTAGAAGATAGCAAAAACTAGCAGAATACGGCTGGTTCTTTCCTTCACTTCAAACCAGAGGGAGCCATTAGTTATATTCTGAAAAGAAGACGGCCAATCTCAGGAACGTATGCATATAACAAACCTTACCTCCCCACTACATTTTACTTTAGCTTCTATGGCACCAATGACCAAAACAAGCAATTGTGTTTTTTATAAATTTCGTGGTGATTGTAACAAAGCAAAAATCAAAAGCAAAACTGACCTTTGGAGTACCACAGTCACACTCTTCCCCAGGGTCCACCAACTTATTACCACAGAAGGGAGCACTATAGGCTTCATCAGGCTTTGGAATATTAAGAAGGCAGTTTCCTCCTTTATTTAAAGTTAACTTCTCAAAGTCCTCTGCACTGCAACTGCTAAAGTTTCTGGAACCTCTATAATAAACATTGAGAAAAAGATCTTATGTCACAGTGATTACTCATTTTGAAAAATTTAAGTCACGTCTTTACTCAATAAGAAGTGAGTATTTTAAATGGCAGAAAATTAGCTAGGCAAAGTAGACAGAAATGAAAATTAAGTTCTATTCCTAATAAATATAAGCTATTCCTTCAGGTGCTACATAACAGGTCATTGTTTCAGTTACAATCAATTGTACTACTATGAAAACACCTTTCAAACAACTCACTTCCATTGAAATATAAAATCATAGTTCTCAGCATCAGAAGAGATCTTAGTTTTAATACTATAATTATTATTATTTCATTTGCTAGAAGGCACACGTACTCACTGCAGAGAGACAGAGACACTAAGAGAGAGAGAAACAGAAAATGAGAGGGCCACCCTCTGCTCCATGGGCCATGATCATACTACAATCCTTCTCTTCCGTATCTCCCTCCTTTTTGGGTTTTGGGCACACACACATGCACCCAGGTGTTTTTCAAGCCATCAGGTCCAGGACTCAAACCACGGTGGTCATGTGGGATCCAGCTACCTTAACCACCAGGCTATGGGCTGGCCTGAAGATCTTAATTATTTAGTCCTACAGAATTAAGCTTTACTACAGTTCTATTTGTAGGTCTTTGAGGAACCTCCATATTGTTCCCCACAGTGACTATACTAATCCACATTCCTGCCAGCAGTGTAGAAGAGTCCCATTTTCACCACAGACTTACCAACACTCATCATTCTTTATTTTTTTAATCTTAGCTATTCTGACTGGGGTTAGGTGGTACTTCATTGTGTTTTTGATTAGCATATACCTTATGATAAGGGACATTGAGCATTTTTTCACTTGCTTTTTGGCTGTTGATATGTCTTCCTTAGAGAGTTGTCTGTTCAGCTCATTTGTCCATCTTATAAGTGGATTGGGGTTTTTTTTGTTTGGTTGGTCAGTTGGTTTTGGTTTTTTGCAGGTAAGCTGCTTAAGTTTCCTGTATATTTTGATTATTAGTTTACTGCGGCATTATTCACAATCACTAAGACATAGAACCAACCCAAATATGTATGAACAGATGTATGGATTTAAAAAGTATGGTATATATACATTATGGAATACTACTCAGCCATAAAAAATGAGATTCTGCCATTTGATAAGAAAGTGAACAAGTATGAAAGTTTTAATGCTAAGTGAAGCAAATCAGACTATGAAAGAGAGGCATCGTATGTCCCTATTCAATACATAGCAAATGCTGCACTCTACGGAAACTGAAAGACTGGAAGGTATGAAAACATGGAGAGAAACTGTGGACACTAGAGGCAGTGTGGAAGAAGGGTGGAAAATGACGGAGGGTGACAGGGAGGGAATCAAGGGGAAAAAGAAAAAAGCAAAGCATTTAAGGGACACACAAAAATGGAAAAATTATCTGCTGATGATAATGTATATGGTAATAACTTTAGACTAATATACAGTGTATTCATAATGGGAAAACTCATTTTGTATGCTATAATAATACATAGTGATTAAATGTAAATAATGTTAATAAATTATTTTAAAGAGTTACACTTTATTATCTAACTAGAATAAGTTTACAGTGAAGAATTTCAGCTACTCCTTACAGCATGTTTTCAGTCTGAGTTTAAATGCCTTTTATGATCATTCCTGGGAATCATGGTTAATATGCTGAAGATTTGATGGGTTTTAAGAAACTGTACAACTGGCAGTAAGAGTTATGTAAGTGAAGTTTAGGTATGTTTTACCTGGGTTTTTTTAGTTACTGGTTTACTTAATAATTATAAAATATTTTCAGATAATCCAAGTAGCCATTCTCACTTTGCACACCAGTGGAAATACACTTAAATCCCATAAACCTTCAAACGACTCAAGCCACATTATCAGGAATTCTTACTGTCACTTATTTATGCTTTTGTAGCCTGAGCTTTGGGTGTGACATCCAAAAAAAAATCACTGTCGAGACTGATGTCAAGGAGCATAACCCCTATGGACTCTTCTAGAAGCGTTATGATTTCAGACCTTACGTTTTGGTCTTTTGTCCATGGTTGGTTGGTTTCTGTGTTTGGTATAAAGGTCCAATATCATCCATTTGCATGTGTAAACACAGCTTTCCCAGCATCATTCATGGAAGAGGCTGTCCTTTCCCCCACTGCGTCTGTGGTGCCCTTTTTGAAAATTAGTTGCTCTTATTTCTGGGTTATATGATCTGGGTTTATGTCTTTTTTTTCCCCTGCCCCCAATACCATACTGTTTGACTACTACAGCTATCAAACTAAAAAGCTTCTGCATTGCAAAGGGAACAATCAAAAAATGAAAAGGCTACACACAAACCAGGAAAAAATATTTTCAAAACAACACATCTGAGGGAACCAGCAGTTGGCGTAATGGCTATGTCGCTGGACTCCCACATAGTCAACTGCGGTTCGAGTCCTGGACCCGGTGGCTTAGAACTCACACCGGGCGCATGTGCGTGCGTGCCCGAGATCCCGAGAGGAGAATGGAGGAGAGGGGATTGTGGCGTGACCATCCCCCTTGGGGGGTGATTTCTCGCTTTCTGTCTCTATGTCTCTGTCTATCTGGCGAGTGCACGCGCCCTATAGTGAAAACCTCTCAAAAAAAAAAAAAAAACACATCTGATAAGAGATGAATATTTAAAATAAAAATGTCATTCAACTTAATAGAAAAAAAAAAAAAAAAAAAAAAAAAAACCCTAAATAAAGGGAAAGGGACTTGAATAGACATTTCCCCAAATAAGACAGAAATATTCAACAGGTAAATGAGAAAGAACTCAACATCACATGGGACCAGCAGATGGCATAACGGTTACATCGCTGGACTCCCACGCAGCGACTGCGGTTTAAGACTTGGACCCAGGGGCTTAAAACTCACACCAAGCATGTATATGTGCGTGCTCAAGATCCTGAGAGGAGAAGGGATTGCAGTATGGCCATCCCCCCTGGGAACGGGGTGATTTCTCGCTTTCGGTCTCTGTCTCTCTGTCTCTCCAGCAAGTACACATGCCCTGTAGCAGAAATCTCCCTAAAAAGAGGAAAAGTACTCAATGTCTCCATCACCACAGAAATGCAGGTTAAAATCACAATGAGGTCTCACCTCACACCTTGTTAGGACAACCATTACAAGGGGCCGGCAGGTGGTGTGGTGGTTAAAGGCTCTGGACTCCCACTTGGCTGACCATGGTTCAAGTCTCGGACCTGGTGGCCTGCTTTCTCACTTTCCCTCTCTCTCTTTCTCTGTCCCTCTCTGATTAAACTGGAAAATAATAATAACAATAATAAGTAAAGTTAAATAAATTAATTCTTTGGGGGAAAAAAGACAAAAATAAAAGTGTTAGAAAGGACGTAGAAGAAGGAAACCTTTGTACACCGTTAATGAGAATGTAAACTGGTGCAGCCATTATGGAAAACGGGGTGAGATTCCTAAAGAAATTAAAACTGTAACTACCATAATACCCAGCAATCTCTCCCTGGGTAAATACCCAAAGGAAACGAATCACTACTTCATAAAGGTATCTGCATCCTCCTGTTCAGGAAGTATCATTCACAATGGTCAAGATATAGAAACAACCTAGACACCTGCTGTTGGACGAACACATGAAGAAACTGTATGTGAATGAACACGCATACACACGTGGCCAGATTTTATACAGTGACTGGAACCAGGTTGAAGTTAAAGCTCTTTAAAAAAAAAATTATGTATTTATTCTTTTCATGACAGAGAGACAGAGAGAGAGAGAGAGATTTTCCCAAAGAGGTCTTGATGCCAAGATCCATTCCCAATTTCAGCCAGCCTCAGGTCACAAATACACACAACCCATTTCTGGACCTGAGCCCAGAACCTTCCCTTGGGGTCAGCATCATGTTTTACCACTGTGCCACCATCTGGCCCCAGAGCTATAGCTCTTTCTAGGATATGACGTCCTCCAGACATATACATTATAGTCACATATCAAAGAATCACACTGCATTTATACATATTTAGGTACCCCATAAATATGTATAATTATTATGTCTAAATTTAAAAAATGATTTGGACTCATAGTTACAGAGAGTAGACACATGGTCACCCAGGGTAGGAGAAGTGGGAAGATGTTGGTCAAGGACAATAAACTCTCCTGGTTATAAAACGAGTAAGACCTACAGCACTAATGTACAGCATAGTAACTGCAGCTGGTAACAAAGTACTGTACACTTGAAGTTTGCTAAGAGAGATCTTCAGTATTCTTACCATAAAAAACCAAAGTTAATTATGTGACGTAATAGATATGTTAGTACTTTGATTGTAGTCATTATTTTGCAATGTATACCTATATCAAAAAATTATATATCTTGAGCACACTTCTTATTGGCCAATTGTACCCCAGTAAAGCTAGAGGGGAAAAGAGCAAACAAAGAGAAAGTAGGAAAGAAGAAAAGGAGGGAGGAGGGAGAGAAGGAGTCATTTCTCTGGAAAGGTACCTCCCAGAAAAAATAGCTTACATTTTAAGGTGTCTAAGAGCAGATGTGAGGAGGATACTACTGGGCCCCTGAAATATCATAAATAATTTAAAAATTATGTTAAAAAGTTAGATTATTCATTTTAGTAAACAGAATTGGCTCCAAATGACTGAGTTACCTGGGGGAAGGGAATCAAGCATCTATATCAATTATATCTAAAAACAAAGCCTAACGAAATGAACACACAGTTTATGTTTAAGCAGCATATGAAGTAGAAGTTAGAAAATCTCTGTTAATATTACCCAGAATAACATCATCTTAGTTCAGAAATTATCTTTACAATTTTTTTTCAAATACAGTGACCTACACACTATCAAACCATAATATGAAAATAAAACATACTATTGAGAGAAAAAGCAGAAACAGCAGATAGAGGCTAATAGGTTTCTTGATACTAGAATTATCAAACAATAAATATAAAATGTCTATGCTTGCCATGGGCAGAGAAAAAAAGAAAAAAAGACACCTG